TGTGGCTCTCAGCCTATGTACTGAGGCCACTGTTAACTCTACGAGTCATGTACTGAAGGTTTGTTAACTCGGGTACTCCGTACCCATGTGTGGAATACACCAGGTGTAAACCCGTGTAACCCCGTTACATAGCCCCAGAACAATGTCCGGTGCGAGTTGTAGCCAATTTTAAGGGCAGCCTCAGTGGACTCAGCCGATAAGATGTAGAGCACGTTATGGGGCTACCGGATTCACGATTTGGTCGGATGGCACCATTCTAGACCTTATTGAGGTATGCCGATTCAAGTCACTCAAAATGTTAGGCCAACCAAAGGAGCCGCCAATGGCACACTTGGGTTTCTCGATCATCTTGCATTCTCTCTTAGTACAACCTTCGTTCGAGACAGTACAACAGGAAAGATTGTCAAGGTTCCTTCCAAACCACCCCAATACGCGATGTTACGGATAAATAGGGGTCCAAATGCTGCTTCGTTTGGCAGTCAGGAAGACGCTGAACTCTTCCTCGTGTTTTACGACGCTCAATCAACGCCTAAACGTCTATTTCTCTCCCCAAGGCCCCAAGCGGAGAAAAACGACACCTCGCGGTCAATCTCCAGCAACTACCGATAGTGTCCGCTGTGGGCTCAACAATATACAAAGTCCAAGGCGAAACACTGCATTCGATGGTTGTTGTAGATTGGAAATCTCCTGTTGCTCTTGTAAACAAACCCTGCAGACGTATCTGCTTGTTTCTCGGGTTGTTTCTCGTCATACTTTTGCAACGCTATCGCTGTTTATGAACGATTTGGCAGCCTGGTCAAGGCCCCCATCTTACTGAAGAGCAACGCTTGCAAGAAATATCTCGACGCACACTTCAGGCATTTCGTGACCACTTCCAAATGTGAACCTCGTGGTAGTTTTTAAAAAGATGTTAAGATTGTTAAGAAAAAAAAAACTTAAAAAAAAAACAGTCGAACTACGACTACCCCGGGCGATCACCCGGGCCCCCAATACATGCAGCGCTGCTAAATTATATCCAAAATGAGAGTTGCAAATCACAGTTGACCTCCCGAAAGTGTCGATTTTTCGCCTGATCGTACAAGAAAGCCCATGTTAAAGTTAGCTTTATGGACGCCACAGCATAATCATTCACAGTAAAGACGACCAAAAAATAGCGTGCCTCCCACCACCTCGACCCCGGACTCGACATGGCTGTCTTAGAATAAACTGCTCTGTCTGTAGATGTCGAACACAGTATTAGCATGTTTGACTGATCCCTCTCACTCTCTCGGACTGAGGTGTACAACAAAGAATTGATACACTTCTGTAGTTAGTATAAACGATTTTTTTCAATTAATTACTTAATTAATCTATGTAACCTATAGGTTGCCTCACCATATGAACGCACATGTATGGGTAGTACTAGTAGCTAAGTCTGATGTCCATGAAATTGATAAATGGCTGCGCTGGAAACCACGCCGAGGGCGAAACAAGACCCCTTCCACCACATATTTCAGGACAAAGCATCTGTACACAGAAGGAATGAACATGCCACCAACAAACTCACCGCGTTTTCCGCGGGGATGGATCAATACTGTCTAAAAGAGAGAGCGCCAAAGTGCAGTAGTGACCCACTTCTACCTAGCTAAGCTCTTAATTTAAGCACGCCCCAGCGCACGTTCAATTTTCCAGATAGTTCTGTCGGATGAAAAAGCATTTTTTTTTTTAATGGTCGTTTGAAGAGAACCACTATTTGTGTTATCAACTAACAATAGGCGATTTTTCTTCTTCAGTACTGCGCTCGAGTTTCCCAGATACATAGAAAGCAGCGAGGCGATAGAGCCCACCACCCTAATCTTGCCTGTGGATACGGAGCGGATTCATCTCAATCCCTGACCTCGTCTTCGACTTCAAGAATTCTTCGTACGCATCAGCGAGATGTTTGGTCGCATGTTCCTTTGCGTCGTCAATGGATTTTTCATAGTATTTCCAACGTGCAAACACCTTCAAGCGGTAATCCAAATCCGTCTTCATTCTGTGCTGCTTCAGCGCAGAGAACAAATTAGCCCCGCCACCCCTCTCTTCCTCGTCGAGTTCGGTTGGATGGCGTCGAAGAAAACTCTTGTCCTCGCCAGAGAGAATACGCGAGGAGTGAACAACGTCCACGTTCAACACACTGGCCTGATCGGCATTTGATACTGCTGTGCCACCTGCAAGGAGGAGGGCCGCAAGAACCACAAGGGTCATGTTGAAGAGACGCATGGCTGGCTGGGTCCTGAAGCTGGAGGAAAATTGCGGAATGAGGAATGCGGCAGTTGTAGGCTGACTCAGATGGCAACAAAGTGACGGCCCTCCTCGAGTGTCTCATGAGAGTCGGATACTGTGCGTGCATCAAAATACGTGATTAGTCACCACCATCAGGTTTAGAAAGCTGGTCATTGTATGGACGAAACCTGTGCGTCACAGGCAGTGCCCAAATAAAATCTGAGAAAAGCTGTCACATGTCTACATCATGTGATTGCAAGTGTAACGAATGACTGCAACATTCATTTAAGAACCATGTGATTGCAAGTGGACATGTAATCATAATGGACGAATCACTGCAGCAACCATTTGGGTTTTCGAAGAAATGTTCCAAACTCTCAAAAGGTGGCCTTTTGTACTGGTAAAATCCGCAAGCTACCCTCCAGGTTACCACAGCTTACAGCTCTTTGTCCAAATGGGTGCGTATCCGTATCTCTTTCAATGAGCCAATGCGTGCAATCACCGCGTGTTCCTCAAAACCATTCACACTGATCGAGGCATTTTTTAACAGGCAATATGCTGCTACAGTAAGTGGCTAGTTTGTGTATTATGAAATGGATAAGATACAGCTGAGAACCAACCTTGCGACTTTTACTTATGAAATAGTTATGACTAACCTGCTCCCAACCCCACAACAAGAATCAGCACTGTAGCACTGGCTCCGCTCCATGTCGTCGCGTTTGCAGCAAGCATGTCAGATTATTTAAGTGCCTCACGTGTTGGTTTAGTCCAGCGGTAGTTGCACGGCTGTAAGCATCTGTACGTTTTAAT